TACTCCGGCAAACGGGACAGTTGGAATGTGAGTAGAGCCACATATCTATGCACGCCACGTGGAAAGCGTGCATGCACTCCGGCAGCGTCCTCAACTCTTCACCCTCTTCGAAGTCTCCCAGGCACACGGCACACGTGCCATCTTCCTCCACGTCACCACCGTTATTCTTCTTCTCGTACTTGTGGGCTGGGATCAGGTGCGGCACCACCGTGTTCCCTCCCGTGCTCCGCCCTTGTTGTTGTCGTTGTTGTTGTGCATTTTGGTTGGTGACGTGGCGCTGGGTGCGACAGAGGATAATGAGATGGTAAATTGTGATAACGAAACTTGCTGAACCCATCGCAATTAGTAAGGCACCAGTTTTGCCACCACCCAACGGATCCATAATACTTTGCTACCAAATGCCTTCATTAATATTGCTATATTAAAGTCTAGGAGGAAAATGGGTATCCACCAAGGAATGCCTTAGGTTATGTACAATCATTTTGTTCTTTTGTATGCTAACGGTGAATGCGAGGAATTCTTATTGTTTAATGTCTCTTTGTCTTTAGGTTCTCACCTACATGTTTTGTATTAACTCTAATGATTATCGTCGTTCATTTTTTATTCGTTTAATTTTTTTTAACCATATTATCATCATTAATTACGTGCATGTACGTGTATAGTTAATTATTTGTATGTGGATAAAAACAAATAAACATGTTTATTATAACTATTGATGCCGCAAAACGATTAAAACTTATTTTCGGTGTCTACCTTGAGCATATACGCAGTGAAAACTTGTTCCTTTTGTCTATGATACTCTTAACATACATGACGAAAACTTATTTTTATTGTATATCTTGAACACGAGTAATGGAAATAAATTTTTATTGTGTTGGTTGAGAGGTGTAATAGGAATCCATGCAGTTGGTTGAGCTTGTAATATGAATAAACCTGATGTACTTGTACATAAATCACTTTTTTCAGGTGAATCTTACAGAAAACCTGTTGCTTTCAACCATATGGGGGGCAGAATCAATACTGATGTCATGCAACCCCGTCATTGTTGTGCCTTGAACGACAACCTCTAACCTTGTAATCTAGAAAATGGGCTTCCACAAGTGTTAAACAACTTAAGTAAACTTTTCAAGATTCTGTTCAATCAAATCATTAGCCACGGATCCTTGATTAATATCCCCCAGCTCAGTAACTCTACTCAAGTAAGCTTTGAATTAAACCACCCAGAAAATTTAACCACTGACAACATGTTCTGATACATTTGGTGTATCAATCCATGGCCAGGTTTCTGGATAGAGGTAAGCAGCCAATGGTAATCTGACAATGTTGAATTAGATAATGGCTCTAGAAACTCGCACCTGTCTAAGATATCTGGTGGAGGTGCTCCGTTGACTAAGTTGCCATTTAACCTTGGCCTACCCTTGTTTAACTCCACGGGGACATTGGTTGAATGACCTTGAAGATGGGAGGGAGAGGCACCCGGAATCACCTCCTGCTTAAAGGGGAGTGCTCTTGCAGTTTGCAGACAAAACTCTATCCACTGATGGATTAATGGTGATGGTCCCCTGATGCGTCCACCAATCTTATTTGTTTGAATCCTAGAGGCAGCAGGTATTGCCTGGGAAAACAAAAACAAAGGTTGAGAAGGGA